AGTTGACTTGTATTTACGAGTGATGCTGCACGAACAATAAACCTTTAACCACCAGAAACTCACTCAGTACAATGAGTCTTTCACTATGAAGGGCAGGTAGGACTTAACATTGAAAGGACAGTAAGCAGATCAATTTCTCATCTCATGCTTATTCTGGGGCACGTGTTCATTACAAATTAGACTACCCACACTATTTCAAAAGTTATTTCTCTTTTATTTGCCAAGTATATACAGCTGAATCAATGGACGTTAAATATGCATATGATGTGGTTCCACTGTACTCAAGTCCTTGCACTAGTTCTAAAATAGTTTTATCTTTTATACATAAAAGCTTATATTTTGTTTTTAATTCTAAAACCTTTCCCTCTCATCATTCAGTTTTCAAAATATTTAAAAGCAAATTTTTATTACTTAACTGTTAAACTCATTTTTCCTCCAACAAACACTTATTATCTGCTTACTATGTGCAACAGTACCAGAAATTATTCCTACAATAAGTTAAACCCACTGCCATTGAGTCAATTCTGACTATAGCCACCCTATAGGACAGAGTAGAACTGTCCCATAGAGTTTCCAAGGCTGTAAATCCCTACGGGGCTGACTGCCACATCCTTCCCCCACAGAGCAGCTGGTAGGTTTGAATCGCCAACCTTTCAGTTAGCAGCTGAGCGCTTTTAACCACTGTGCCACCAGGGCTCCTTACAATAAGCTAAATACCTGCTTATTTACCACTGGCAGTTAATCTAAGAGTTGACTATAGCTCAGCAGCTTATAGTTGTATAATTAAGGTCAGCTAATACAATCCTCGTTTAGAGGGAATAGCAGTTTATTTCATTTATATACAGCTTGTACACTATCTTCAAGGAGGAAAGGTTACTAAACATTTAACTTATTTGCAAAGCTGGATTAATACAATCTTTTATATACTAGAGTTTCCATTAGTTAAAACAAAAGGAATAGACTCTTTATATCAATGAAAACATTTCTCTACCACTTTAATTGTTGAAAGTAGCAAGGCTTATAAATTCTGCCAGTGTTCTCATTTTAATTTCTTCTACTGAAGAATGGAAAGCAAATCTTTTAAAACGACAAGATGATAGTTCCTACATGCCCAGTTTAATTTTTACCTCTATACTGAAATAGCCTCTGTCCACATAGTCACCCAGAAAGAGGTAGCGTGTGTTACTAGGTGATCCTCCAACTTCAAACAACTTCATCAGGTCAAAGAATTGTCCATGAATGTCACCACACACTAGGGGAAAAAGGCCATAGGATAAGGTGAAAAGGTATGTCTTAGGAGAAAACGAAAGGGGGCATTACACCAACAGAGATCACAGTTTAACTTTTAACTTACATCAGTTTTGACTGGCTTCGCTGTAATTATAGTATACATTGTATCTATATGGAATAGTTCTAGAAATATTAAAACCCAAAAACCCATTGTCGTCCAGTTGATTCTAACTCATAGCGACCCTCTAGGACAGAGTAGAACTGCCCCATAGGGTTTCCAAGGTTATGATCTTTACGGAAGCAGACTGCTACATCTTTCTCCCACAGAGCGGCTGGTGGGTTCGAACTGCTGACCTTT